TAAGGTCCCCCTAGCTTCTCTCTCGAACGCATGGCTTACTTGGTACGTCCAGATGTTATTGACAATTTCAGTCGCCCAGTTTTGCAGGTCTATTTGAGCAGCGAGGAACTGAGGCTGATAGCCTAACGTGGTTTGATTCATTGTAGTCAAGACCCGAAGCATTCCAGCGGCAGCCCAGCCGTTGCCTATTATATGCGGATTCGTCAGTGGTGTTTCAAAAGACAAGCGGAGAACCGAGCAGTGGGTGATTACCTGTGCTCCAGTGGCCTTCATCAGTGAAATTCCCGAGTGCAATGTGCTTCCACAAGCCGACATTGGTATCGAATAAATAGTTTCGGTATAGCCGTATTTGATCGTATGAGGTGTAAACGAGCCATTGATGGACGTAGGGTTGGTATAGTGCACCGTAATAGGCGATGAATGGAGGGGTCATGTAAACGAAATCGGACCTGGAGTAATCAGGAGAGAGTTACATCGGTTCTAAGGCTCTAGAATGGGGTCAACTCACCAGAGTTGAACTTGTTCCGATCGATGACTAATCGCTCCGTCTGGGGTCTTTGGCGCGGAATTTAAAACGTATCCTAGTTGTTGTCGTAAAGGGGTATCGTAGTCGTTGTGGGCCTCGTCCGGCCTTGAAGCCTTGGTCCAATTTGCCATAAGCATTGCGACTCCTAACGAGGTTGGATCCCCAACAGAGGCGTCTTCGAATAAAGTTACGGAGCCTATTGGACGGATCGCGATCGCACTGCGGGTTTTCAGTAGCGAGAAAGGTTGGTCAGCAGGGAGCCTAAGGATGTGAGAGGGAGACGACTGACTAATTCGCCAATTCCAGAACGGTAGAAATGTTGTTCGGATTGTGTGTGCCGCTAACGTTTCGTGCTGGAGGAACACCAATTGGACCGTAGACGCTCATTTGAGGCCAGTCTGTGGGGAGAGGAGGTCAACACTGTGTCTTGAGAAAGGTTCAATAGAACTAGCCAACGGCGGAATTGAAAACTGCCATATGGATGAAAGATTTGTCGAGAGAAGCTTGTGTAGTAGGATGGGGGTGGGGTTTGAAAGTTGGTTCAATCCGACCTCGCGGTCGTTGTCTCTCGGCAAGGCTGACCCGCAGAGCCGCGGGTTGAAAGCGAGGACAAGGCCCATCAGGCCAAGGTTCGAGAGGGATGTGGGGGGGATGGACTTGGCGTGACGCCCTAGGTTCCAATGCCGACCAGGAAGAAGCTGACTGTAGCCTCCACTCACCGATTTCGAGGTATGCCTCTGCTAGGGTCCCCAACTCCCATGACTTGAGAGACACATCCCTCGCCCGGGTTCGGACAAGTTGAAGCAGCGGCTCATCAATCGGTAGGAACGACGAGAGTGTAGGTACATCCACGTCACGGGACCGGAGGCCAACCGATGGTAGTCGCTGCACTAGGGGACGAGCGAAACCCGTGACCAACGAACCCAGAACTAGCAAGGCGACCGTCGTGGGTGAGGTGAACATCACCGCAGGGGAATGCCTGAGGGGGGGAGTCGTGGGTGAGAGACGGGAGGAGCTGTCTGGGAAGTGCCCAATAAGTTGTTTTACGAGTGAGGGCGAGGTTTAGGCGACCGCAGCGAAGTTCTGTCGTTGACCCGGATGCAGGAGGAGAACACGACGATGGTAAGGTCAGTTTCCCCCGTCCGTAGAGCAGGATTTGAGCCTCGATGTACGGGCGGGGATGGTCGTATATGAGAAGATCCACATTACGCTCAAGTGGCTGCATTGCCAAGGTACGTCGGTGGTTGTTCCTCGGTCCACAATGACGCTCTCGGCGAAATCAAGATTCACACGCCGAGATCCTAAGCAAACGTGAACAACGTCAAACCTCTCCGCCTTGGGCTTGGACCTCTCACCCAAGATCTCTTGGATATGTCCCAAATAATTCTTCCCGGCGTCGTGAACAGAAGAACCATTGGCAACTAGATCTCGTCTGCCCAACCGGTTGACCTCTGGCTGAGGGCCCTATCCACACACCCCTATGACGTATCATAGGTTTGATATGGGAACCCCCAAGACGCTCGTTCAGCTCTAAATGACACCCGTTGCCCCTATACGATAAAGAACCGCATTGAGTACAATGGTAGCACGCCTCACATGGAGTCACACCGATGGACACGGAGATCGAGCCCGACCTTCGGGCTCGATCTCCGGGGTGTCCAACTGGACCCACCCATGCTCTACAGGACTTTTCCTCTTTAAACGGGTGATTGCTTGAATATGTGAACCCTGCGGAGATTGAACCCATGCTCGACGTTCCACATTCTGAAGGTCGGGTTTATCCCCAAACCGTCCAACTGGGCCTACCCATGCTGGACAAGACCTTTCCGAAGGAGGACTTTTCAAACGGGTAATCACTTTGATTACTTGATGAAAGACCTTGACGGAACAAGGTGACTGTTTGGCATTTTACGATTTCTGTATGGGTGAAGTGGACGAGAGGTAGCATACGACTTTCTTAGGGCCTCGGAGTGGTCGGTTCGGACGTCTACTACTAACCTGACGATATTCCGACTGTTCCCGGATGCGGACGCAACATGATGAGCTTGAAGTCCTTAGAGCCAGACCCAGCCGGAGTGAAAATCCATTTAGTGAGCGCGCCGCGGCTATCTTCCTCGAACATTACTCTCGTTGGATGTTGAAGTGACGCTTTTGGCTCTGGGAAGTAGACCCTACGACGGACTTGGGAGCGAGTACTGACAGAAGCGAAAAGCTTGAGCCAGTTAGGGTAGCTCTAGATGAGCATGAGACCACTCTCCATTGTGTATCAGAAAGAATCAGGAGGGCCGGGGGGGGTTATTTTATGCAAACGCACATCCATCGGGTTTAGGATGTCGTCCGCCAAGCTCGCCATCACCCAGAATCTCCCAAACAGTCCACTCGACAGCACAAGCATTACTTGGTAGTGGCATGTATAAAGAATAGAAGTTTGCGAACTGTTCCGATCTTTGAATTAGATTCCTTGGGCAACCCAACGTCTTTGGCACTCGCTTGTTAAAACTAGTTTCCATCCAATTGGTAAGGTCTCGACCATGGCAAGAAAAGCGAGTCGCCGCCTGTTCAGCTGCGCAGTCACGCCAGCCGCATTCTGAAATACAAATGTCAATGGTACGGACTCGATCTGAAACCCGAAACACAACCAGGATCTGAATGAAGTTCTCGACACCGCATACAGAACTTCAATTGAAATTGATTCATGACTGATAGTGCTGTAATGGCTGTATAGTCTAGCATCCCGTTTGATCCTGCCACTAATAAAGACACTAATTCTTTTGTCGATATTGAGTAATGTACTCTCAAAAAGCCCCTCCGAGTCGATTTCCAGCTCTTCGTTAAGTTACTATGACACAGTATCTAGAGAAGTACTATTGATGCTGGTCAAGGGGCAGTACGACATACCGAGGGATAGGTCCCACCGAATAAACTCTGGGGATCGAACTCATACTCGACAGGGGCTTGAAAGGACATTCCGAAGGAGGACTTTTCAAACGGGGTGATTCCTTGAATACATTGATGAGGGACCTTGACGGAGCAAGGTGATTGCTTCGCATTCTACGATGCCTGTACGGGTGAAGCGGACGAGAGGTGGCATACGATTCTCCTACTGCCTCGGAGTGGTCTGTTCGGACGTCTACCAACCTGACGACATCCGACCGTTCCTGGATACGGACGCAACACGATGAACTTGAATTCCTGAGAGCCAGGCCCAGCCGGAGGTCAACAAATTCAGATACTTGGTATCTATAAAGAATGACCTCAGCGCTCTCAAACCTCGAGAATAGAGCCACTAAGCCTGACTTAGAGCCTCCATTGGGGGCCTCGACACAAGAGAACGTTCTCCCCAGTTGATAAAACCAAAACACGATATGGGCGATACAAATGAGAACGGACAAGAACTGGTGATAGATCTAGACGCATGGCGGAAGCAGCAATCACGCCCCGTCTATCTCCGAGGCGTGGTCCATCTTATCCCGTCGATACGTTAGACGACAAGGAACGGAATAGTGCTTATGCAATTGCCCCGAATGCTCGCTCGCCCATCTTACGTGAGCTAATCCCGATCCGGAGGTCACAATTCTAAAACTCCACGCGACCGAGTACTTGGCAGTGGGTTTGCACTCTTTGCCAAGATGGTGGTCACTTAGATTTCGGCCGGCTAAAATAAGAGCGCCTTTGCTAATCCTCTAACAGTCTGTGCACAAAAGCAGAAAGCAAAGGTCTTCGGGCAAAAATCATGGTGACAATAAACCTCTTGTGCTCGACAGTACGTAAGACCCAAGGGGTTGATATATCTGGGGATAATTCTATCCAACAACCCCTTCGTCAGCAACCCACAACAACCCCCTCGGAAATGACCTCATCCGAACAACCCCCCCAACTAGGAATGTCACCTCACGCGATGTGATCCCCCCGTCGCCGTCAGGGGCTTCATGTGGTGCCAGACTGACGTCGTCGCCGGTGGTGAGGGTGCGCTGCAAGGCGAACATTCACTCGCTTGCTGCCGCTCACACTTTTCACCCATCATAAATACCATCTGTATATACTGCATTCAATACAGCATATTTTTTAACTATTGTATTAGCTGTAGAGAAAGCGTTAGGGACGTACGCCCTGACGACGGCGACCTGTCCCAGCGCGATAACCGCGTAAAATATAGACACCCGTGACGGACATATGAGTGTATGCATCACAATATAACGTATCTGCCTGAGTTAAGAGCTCGCTTGCACCCTCGCCGCCGCCGTCAACGGCGGCGGCGACGACGACACGTCAGTCTGGTACCATACGATGCCCCCTGACGGCGACGACCGGATCGCATCGCGTGAGGTGACGTTCCTAGTTGGGGGGTTGTTCGGAAGAGGTCACTTGGGGGTTGTTGTGGGTTGTTGGCGAAGGGGGTTGTTGGATAGAATGATCCTATATCTGGTCCCAAAAAGGTCTACCTATATATTTAAGCAAGACCCCTTGGAACGTCGGGCAGTTGGCGCAGTGGTAGCGCGCCTCATTTGCACTCCTGCGGAGTTTGAAATCTTGCGGAGTTTGAAAGCGTTGAGGAGGGCATGGGTTCAATCCCCATACTGTCCAGCTCTATTTTGCTGTTTTCGGCCTCGAATATCACTTTTCTTTCCAGCCGGTCGATAACGGTTAACCGCCAGAAACAGGCCCGCGAGCAGCGCCCCAGCACACCGCGCTAGGAGATCGGTTTTTTTTTTTCAATCAGAAAAAGATGCCGTTTCGGATGAGACAGTTCTAAAGCGGAGTGGGAGTTTGCATTGTAGTAGGCTTGATCCTTCCGGGTTACTCAGCGAAACTTGTTACAGTGTAATCGTTTCACCCGCTGCCCCCCCTCTTTGCTCCGGAAACGGTCGGCGCTTCGACACTTTCGGAAATATTGAAAACCAGGCAACGCACATAACGGTAGCGATTGAGTGGGGAAAGGCCTTTTAGCAAATGAAGTGGAGGGCGAGGGGTCTGCTCCTGCGCGAGGTGGAGCCCCATGGAAGGCCAGAATCACAGCTCAAATGCGTTCCGGATTTCGTCCATTTCGAGTATATGCACGTGTAGCCCCTTCGGTGTCTCTCCAAAGGATAACGTACAGTTTCCTTGGCACTTTTCGCTTGACCCCTCAATTGCCGAATGACCGGCCGCTCATGATACCAACCTTGCAGGGAACCCAACCTTTTGCGCCTGCGGCCCGTTATTATTTGCTACTGCATGTAACGTCAATCGAACACTGAAGGGCCCCGAGTGCTCACGTGTGTCTTCGAATTTGGACCCTGATCGCCCCACCTCGAAGTCACAGACAGCACGTCCCTCCACCGATGACCTCTGGCCTCTAATGGCTACTTCCCACCTGTCATCCCCAGTCGCCTCGAAGGAACCATAAACTGGTTAAACACTAACCCTCCAAGCCCTTATGACTGCGCATATTCCCAACACGATTTGCTCGGTGACTAGATCTAACAAAGTATCCTGTGAGGAGGTTTTGTGAATCCTTCACTGAGAACGACTGTGGATAGGACTGCGCAATGCTCCTCCTTTCAATACAGAAACTGTATCTGACCCACGAACGACAGCGGCGGCAGCGGATTTCTCCCAAAGGAGAGAACAGTGGTCGAAAACGCACCCCATGTCACTAGAACAGTTGGCAAGCGAAAGTGTGCCGTTGCTGCGGCGTTGCCTTGGGCGTCTTCCAACGTCGCCGAGCTTAGGTCGAGCCTTCAATGAACGGCAAACCTTATGGTGCACTATTCAGATCAAACTTGTTTACTGAGAGGTCGGAGCAGTTCGGGACGTCGGTGCTTTGCCGTGATTCGATCGGTGTACCTCGGCATTTCTTTGGAGGGTCCCCTATCATTTCGTTTCATTTCATCCTCCAAGGTGATCGTCAGCAACGGTTCTCTGATTTAACCTAGCTCGGGCTGCGCAACAGCACAGCTTTGCACGCAGACCGCCCAGGGTGTGCTTTCTCCGCGGACACCGTTCGCTTCCGGACGTTGTCGCCGAGACCCTCCCCACATGGCGACGTGAGTCTGGAGAGTTTCATCATCAGACCTCTTGACCCTTTAGAAGATCTTCAATTCCGGTGCCAAATCCGTGGAGCTTTACCATTTTCGGACTCTAGGACCAGGCCTACCGCGGCCCTGAGCGTTGCGGCCCGCTGTTTTCCCGGTGGTCAGCGCGCTGACCGTTCTGACCCCATCTCCACTACAAAGTCGACCTTGATCTCGATCAAGCGAGACCAGGAGCTTGACACTGAGCGAACTTCCGAGACATTGGGAATTGAAACTTCTGTCAGCCATTGACCTTTGACCGGGGAGGGGGGCGGCGGGCAGGATGTCCGTTTCGCAGTTGGACTTGGTAGCACAGGAGTGACCCTCACCTGGACCGAGCACACGAGCTGTCCTCGCACATTTGGAGTTCGGGGTTTTGCTTCAAGGACTGCGCGTGAACGAGTATAAAGCAGGCGGTCTCTCCTTCCAGCAAACCACAACACCACAACATGTCATCAAAGCGCCAACGTTTAGGTCCCTGCGCAGAGTGCACGCAACGTGAACGCGTGAGCTCTTTCTTTCTCCTTCTTCTCTGTAATGCACTAAAAGGGGTTTCCAGACGTGCGATGGTCTGTATCCAGAATGCGACTATTACCGACGTTCTATGCCAGGACCCAATTTACGCCCGCGCCAAGCGCGCATCCGGAATGAACAGCAGTATCTCTCAGAACGAGTTCGTGAGCTTGAAGCGGAGCTTGAACGACTCTCCGGAACGACCTCTGGATCCCTTTCCCCCCCAACCTCAGGGAGTTCTCCAGAGCGTTCGGGTGAAATAGGCAAGTCCAGAATGTCCCAAAAAGTACTGGTTCCTAATTGTATAGTAAATTCTAGCTACTTTTCCGCCATTCGATCAGCCACCGGCGGAAATGAGCGGCGAATGGTGGCTGCAGGATGAGCTCGTCCCAGCGAATCGTGATTATCTGTGAGTCGTCGCGTTTTGCTCATTCAAATAACAGCATTAACCCCAAATGACAGTCTTAAGATATTTTTCAACGTCGCTTCTTCCTACCATCTTCATCCTTACCATCCAACATTCCAACAAAGACTTGCATCGAGCGAGTCAACGAGAAGGCCCCATCCATCCTTGCTCAATGCGATGTACCTAATCGCTTGTGCATCAACATATGCCCTCCCTCAAAGCTCCCAGATGTCTCTGACTTCTCTTGAGGATTACTTCCTTGATCGGACGAGAAAAAGCATGAGCGAAGGCTTGGCAAATGCGGATCGCCTTCTTGATTATCTCGAAGCAAGCAGCGCTCTTTCGGCCTACCTCAACACAAGGAACCGCCATCTCGAGGGGTGAGTATACCATAAATTATCTAGAGCCACTATCAATAAGTTCGATTAATATTATTTCTTTTGAAGGTACCACCATCATTGCGGGGCAGCCCGATTAGCTCTGGCCTGTGACTTGCACACGCTGCCCCCACCCGCCAGCTCTGTTCATCAGCCACCTATTTCTTACACTGATTCAGAGTTTCATGGGCTGGTTGGTCCTCCAACAACTGCAAGCGAGACCACCGAACGGATCCACACGTTTTGGAACCTCTTCGTTCAAGATCGTATCTATGCGACGGTCTACGGTCTCGCTCCAGCCTTGGATGAGGAAACAGACCACATACGAACCCCATTGCCTTTACAATTTAATGAAGATGGGAATGTGAGTCTCTATCTGGTCTGTTCATCTTAGGGGAGTGTTCCTGACGTCTGTCTAAATTGTGCACCAGTCCAACGTTGAGCATGGCGTCGGCAGCTTCATCTCCAACCTTATGAGCTCAAGCCAAGACATTAAAAGCGACTGGCTTGAATCAGCGTTTGCGGTACAGGTGGTTTCGTTGGCTATTCTTCACAAAGCCAAGCGGACGTTGACCGCTGATAGATCTTGTGAGTTTGTATCCCACTCCACAAATGATGACAAAACGCTTAAGATAAAGCAGCTACTCTGGCGCTACTCATTTGCAGCAACAGTATCCTTGATAAAATTGAAAGGACCCAAGTCGATCAGCGTGATGCCCACTTCGGGTGCATGCACGACATTGCCCATCTCACGGCCATGGAGCTTCTCAAGTCGCTGACAGAGACCGAGACGCTGGAAGATAAGAGTATTCTTCGGCATGCTCATTCCATCTATGAGTCGGCTTCGGACTTTCCCAAGAGGGAGTTGGTTCGGGCCTGCCCTTTGCGTCGCGTGAGTTCGAGTCAGCCACAAGAGCGTACGATGCTAACACTTTCTCTGTTTTTAGTTCTGTTGGCAGGAGGTTTCGGCTTGGTTGACGCAATACAAAGAAAGGATCTTACCGCTTCGGACCGTTGATGATCCTGACGTTGCGACCATCAAATCTCGCATATTCTTCCTGGAAAGTGCCATCTCGGAAGCTCAAAGGAGGTCAGAATTTCAGATTATTGTTGACATTGCGAGCTTAACTGACGCATTCTTGCAGGTAAGCCGAAGAGTACGATGTATCGTTTGACTGTGTATTATGGACTGTGTGTTTGGAACCTTCGGCGATCTCTTCATTTTCACTATTACGAAATCTGCTATCGGTTGTTCTATTACCATATTTCTCGTCTGCCCGCACGGGGTGTATCTGGATGCAACCCGCTAATCAAATGTGATCTATCTCGGACAATTAAATACGTTTGTTCTGCCTGTCTTTCCGATGGTGTAACTTTCGAGTTCAATGTTCAGAGAGTGCCCGAATTCGGGAGGCGTACATTCTCGTTCTTAAGAAATCTCTTTTACCATGGAGTACAGGAATCCTGTCCCGTATTCGGAATCATCCCACACACGTTCTCTTCTTTGTCACTCCGGAAGTTCACGTACCGTCTTCTTGCCCGAAATATTATCATTCTCTCTCCCCTTGCGCCGCAGCTCGCTGCAAAAGGCAAGCTTATCTACTTCTGAGCTGAAGATCATACTCCTCTCGATACTATATCCCGACGTAAGAATTACAAACTGATTTTGAATGGCCACGAGTCCCCGGCACGGGCGGCGGCCGAACACACGGCAATGGCAAAGCCGGAACGTCAACACGCAATCATTTAATCGCCCATGGCCGGTAGCTTTTTCCACTAGTAAAGCTCCTATAGTCGATGCTTACCACATATTTCATCTCGCTTGGTGGCTGCTGCAGCACGTATTCGTAAGCGAGGGTGGAATACAAGGCTTTGTCAGCTAGAGCTCTCACAACATAAGTATAAGTGCTCGTCATGCCTCCACCGTCCCTGGACCCCTACAGCTCGAAGACCTCAACCGCCCGGGACCGAACTTCTCTGAAACAAACTCCCCGTCTTGGTCAGACAACACCGTGATATTATGACTATGTGGCGCTTCAGAGGGATGGGGCTTGCCAGAGGGGGTGACGTAGTCTTGGTAGAAACGTATAAAAACGGTAGCACAAGAGGTACAGTCCTAAACTCATCTCAGGACGAATATCAGTACAGCTACAACGAATATTTCATGTCAGACCTGAAACGCAAAGAACGAGACCCCTGCCCAAAGTGCGGTGAAAGAAACAGGGTGCGTATCGT